GCCTTCCTCCTGGAACTAGTGCCCGGCACACAGTCAGAGCACGATAGATATTAGAAGATTGAGCCTTCCAAGGATACCCCAGGTTTCACCATGGCTTTATGAGCAATTGAGGCCGGGTCATGGAGGGCTTTTTTGCAAGTCATTTGCCTGTTCGATCTCAGGTCCATTACCCCCCTTCCACTGCTCTGAACCCCAAGATAATGTGCCCCCGCAGGCGTCCATGTCAGCTGGCATCGTGTAGTGTGATCTGGGGAAGACTGGAGAGCAACAGGAGAAAAGGGACCAGGATATTCCCCACTCTTTCTTCCTGCTTTGGACAGCATCACCACAGTGGCTTCGTCCTCTTTCAGCCTCCAGCCCCTGACTAGCAGCACCCGCTGTGATTTTAGCCGCTCCAGGCAGCTCTTGCTCCTGGGCTCTGCTTTGTCCCTCCAGCCCCAGGAACTGGCTTCCCCCTGGTGCTCACCTTTGGGTTGCCTTACCATCTCCTTCATCCTTTCACCTCTTCCAACATCGTTGTAACAACTCCCCTGTACTAAATTCCTTCTCTTGAGCTCTTTTTGTAACAGACCTTGTCAGACTCATCCTGAAATGCTTTTCTGAGGATTCTGGGCTTTATGCTTATGGAGGTTGGTCGGACACCATTAGAAGTTTGTGAGGAGAAAACGGATAGACCAAATGGAAGACATGGGTGTTTTGGGAGGATTCATTTAGCAGAGCTAGAGAGAATGAAGTGGAGTTTCTATGGACCCCCTAAAAGATTTGTAGACAGCTTTTAGGAGTCTGTGAATACTCTACAACCCTGAAAAACTTTGTGTATATGTGTGTAAGTGAGTTTTTTCTAGGGATAGAGTTCATACCTTTCATTAGAGTTTCTACAGGATCCCAAAATATGTTAAGAACCACTGAGCTAGAAGTAGGAAGACCAGTTAGGAAGTTAAGTAATTCAGCGTGTCAGTCAGGGTCCCTGAAGGAAATAGAATTTACCAAGATCCAAGATGGTTCCAATGGTGACTTTAAAGAAGGGACCATTTTTAGAAGTATGGACAAGGTTAGGTGAACAAACAAGACATGGAGACACTCAGAGATTAGTCACATTGGGAAGCTGTTATCCCCTAGGAATAAAGGGAAAAGGGGAGGAAATTGAATGGGCCCAGGATAACTATACCCTGGAAGAGACGTGCTGGAGAGATCAGCCTTTTCCGAGATGGGAGATCAAAGCGGGGAGCAAGGAAGGAAGACACACTCTGGCCTCCCTCCTCCCACTCTCTGATTAACCATTGACCATCGTCAGTGCGCGCCCCCCCCCCCCCCCCCCGGTCAACCACCATGGTCTGCAGGGCCAGAGTAGGGCAGCAAATGTGGGGAAATGGATGGACTGGGCAGAACAGCCTACACAGAGAATAACCAACACACAGAGAATACATTCCCTAGAACTTCCAGAATTTGTCCAAGACAGGAATTGACAAGTCCTGTTTGGTAGCTCCAGGCATCATCAGTCGCTCTCTGATTTCTGGATTCTGCCTTTCATCAGACCCTCCTCCACTAATGTGGGCCTGCCCAGTAATGCCAGAGAAAGAGAAGAAAAATACAGGGGATTTTTGTTATTGTTGTTGATTTTGTCCTTCTATTGCCTCTAACAAGCCCTTTGACACTGGAAGTCACAAATGTCTCCAAGCCTCCCTCATCCATAATGTCCAGACAATGCATTTGATGTTCTCTGTGGTACCTTCTGGCTTGAAAGTTTTATGATTTTTCTTAAGGGGGTCTTTGGCTTCTTCCCTATGAAGGCAGTTAGTGTCCTGGCTCCCTCACAATACACGAGCAGCTCTCCCTTGCCTGCTACTGTCTGTAGTGGTTTGAAGGCTGGTCAAGAACAAGGGCAACAGAGCCCTGTCCTTCCAAGGAGCAAACTGCAGCCTTTAGCATTTTATGGACTTTGGCTCTGCTGTTGGGTGTTAGGATTTGTAGCGAAATGCTATCATATACATTTGAGTCAGTGTTGTCCAATCGAAGGAGCACTTTGAAGATACGTTTGCCATTTGCCGTTCTAGTCTGTGTTCTAGAGACAGACCTAACATAAAGAAACACACCCAGCAACGCTGCTTCCTGGGTGGGTGGAGGGAGCTGAGGAGTGTTGCTGAAGGGGGCTCACTTTTGTACACATTTCAGAGATTTAATTTTATTAGCCGATGCAAATGATCTGTTCCACACATGTAAAACAAAAGGACAAGAAAATGATCCCTGTGTCAACATCAGGATGCCTGGCTTAAAAATTCCATTCAAATAGCTCCCTAAAAATGATCAGACACTGAATACATTATTTTTCTGACTTTGACAAAACCAGTCTGCACAAAGAAGCAGCCCCATGAGGTTAGGGATAAACCAACCACGTTAAAACTTCAGCATTTTCATGTCAGTCACAGATTTTCTTAAGGGCCAAGTCACTGTTTAAGGACTAATGTGTTTGGAGAGGGGGAAAAAAATCGCACTGTGTTATTAGGCAGAATCCCCTTTATATACAGGGATTGGATCAGTTTGACCCTGATTGTGTCGCCTGCTTTATTGTCCTACTTCAAACACGGGGCCCTGGGCATCATCTTAAGGAAGGGCTGATTGAACTGTCGGCCTGACACTTGTCAGCTGTGGATAATACGGGTTTCAGTCCGTCATGGTCACACATAAATGAACCATGACAGAGATAGACTGTTGAATAGAAAAAAGCAGTTTTACTGTGGATAACCTTTCTTGAATAAATGCAACAAATAATAAAGTCTGAAAAAGAGGACATGTACCTTAGGAAAGCAGCGATGTTCAGAAGCAACTGGTTATTATCTTTTGGGGGCCTCGAAAATTGCCCCTTTATCAGAGCATGCGATTGAGAGAAAGGGGAAAAGTGCTATGATTACAATACAAATGATGGCAGTTGAGTCCATGCAGTCTTCAATATCAAAACCCAGTTACCGCTCACCAAAAGTAAAAAAGGAGGCATTGTTTGTCTACCAAATGGAATCCACAATTGTTCTTAGAAAATGGTGGCACACATCTTAATTAAAACAGCAGAAAAAGAGCTGGAAACTCTTTATTTCTCCAAAACACTTCTCTCTATCTCTATCTCTATCTCTATCTATATATCTATATTTATATCTATCTATATCTATATATATGTGTGTGTGTGTGTATATATATATATATATTTTTTTTTTCCCAGTAGAAATTGTGGAAACTCTACATTTCAATCAGGGCAGTCAAAAGAATGATTTAAATTTACAGGCCTGTAATTGGAACAAATTGGAAACAAAAGAAGAGCTCGTTTAAGCCACATGATATGGCCACTGTGTACAGTATGCTAGAAAAAAAAGGAAATCATGTTTCTTTAAAGCAAAGCTAACTCCACGGCAGGCTCCAAGCAATTTGCATAAATGTCTCTACCATGATTTTTTTTTTATTTATGGGCCCTAAGTTCCTAATTAAATACTAATTAATACTATCACCAGAATTGTCTCCCATCCCCAGCTCTTCATAGCTTTGTCACTTTGATTAATACACAGTCATTTATTAACTTATTTAACAAGCCGGGGTGCCTCATGACAAACTAGATTAAATTATCCTCATAACAGTCTCATTACTGAAAAAAGGGAGTTTTAAACTTAATAAAAATTATCCTCAATAATGTTAAAGCTTTTTCACTGTACCCTTAAAAGATAGAAATAGGTTTCTTGTTTGATTTATAATATATGGAGTTGTATAAAGCATTCATTAATAAAATTTATAAGTTCATTTAAGCTTGCACATTACAGTAGTGCTGTAGCCTTGGGTGCTTATTATTTAACTTTTGCTGTAGTTATGAAGATAATTAATGTCCTGACCAGACAGGGACTAAAATACCCACTAGAATGAGATAATTAGAGACATAAATAATGTTTAGGTTCTTGTGTGCCACTTTTTAAACTAATTGTTTTGTTTTCCACCCAAACTTGATAAAGAAGAAAATAAGAGTTTACTAGAGAACTGTGTGATGAAGGTGAGATGTTTGTTTCGGTGGATGGGCGAATGCTATGAAGCCTCTCAGTTTCTGGGCTGGAGAAGGGAGTGCCAGGGGTCTCAGCTCTTTCTGGAGAAATGTTGGGCCCTTGTCACTCTCTGGCTCCCTCTAGTGGCCAGGTCCTGGAGGCAAGCACACCTTGTGTCAAGGCCTGCTTATTAGCCCACTCAGGAAGCCCAAGTGGGTGAGTCAGAAATTAAAACTGGAGGAAGTCTCTTCATTACGTGCTGGGGTAAGCGTCTGGTCTTAGTCAGGCTCCGAGGAGAAGGAGAGCCCCAGAGGGAACTGAACGAGCCTATGGCAGCAAATCTTTCATGCTGATGAGGCAGAAATATAGGAAGTTGTGGCTCAGGCCCTGCTGGTATCAAAACAAATACGTATAAATACTTTGAAATGTACCTGGAGCGCACACCGTTGGTGGGACGGTGTGTTATAGTAGGTACTCACCATGTTCTGAGGGCATAGTCTCCTCTCGTTTTCAGTTTCTTGCTAAAATAGCACCCTCGTTATGGTCCCTAGGTAATTCTGGGAGAGGACAGTACAAATGTTTCTAATGATGGGCAACTGTTTGCTAGTTAAGTCTCCTTTTGGTCTTTGGTGTCCTGCGTCTTTGGGAGGGGCTGCTGGAAAGGGGCGGTAAGGCCCTTGTCACAAATAGGGAGCCGACACCCTGTATGGACAACACTTTACAATTTACAGAGCCCTTTGGCATCTATCATCCTTAGTCCCCCCATCCTGTGAGCCCAGAGGGGCATTGGTACCTTGGTTGCTGAGGAACCACCTGGGGCTTGGGATTTACACGCTGGACAGTTGGTTACTTCTTTCCTGGGAAGGGCACCTGGCTCCTTTTCTATTGATTTCCTGTGTCCTTCCTGCATGTCTGCATCTTGCCTCCATTTCTTCTCTCTCACGCCCTCCTTCTCTCTCTCACCTTTGTCTTTTATCCTTGATTCAGAGCAGCGATAACAATAACTCTACTTGTTCACGTACGAAAATAGCTCACTTGACAGAGCTGCATGGAGACTGGTGCCACGGATAGTCTGTGAGCAGAAGAAGGGCTCGGGGAATTTTCTTGGGGTTTAGAGTGCTTCATGGTCATCTCCAATTCACATTTCACCCCGGGCTGGTAAGTAGATGGCAAACGTTTTTATTTTTTATAACACTTGTGTAGCATTGATTAAGATTTCCATCTTTGCAAGTCTATTAGTAGATGGTAGCTTTGGCCAAAAATAGATTAACATTAAGCCAAATCTCAGCTCACTGATATACTTGGTTTCTTCCTGGCAACTTCAAGTTCAGTGTATTAAGTCCCTGACTTGCCCAGGGTTCGTTTTGGGCAAGTAGGCCAACTGAGATTAAGTGGGGCCTCTAGGAACCCCGTGAGATGCCATAGATTAAAATAAAAGCACAGTAAGGTAAGAAGGAGACCAAGGTCAGTGCAGGAAGGTGAAAGCCCAGGGGGCCTTATTTCTGCCAAGGTCCTTCCGTGTGAGTCCCCACTGGCTTCATTATGATGACATGAGGAATGGGAAGGTGAAGAGAGAGATGGAGAGGGGCCGAGGATTATGGATGTGTGGTTCAGAAGAGTAGAGGAGAAGTAACTTACTTTTTAACGGTTCTCAAACTTTAATGGACAAAACAATGTTTAAATGCAGATTCCCTGGCTCCGGTGTCAGAATTTCTGATTCACTCTGTCGGAGAAGGCCCAGGAATCAGCATTTTAATAAACCTGTAAGTGACCCTGATGCAGGAGGTCAGCCATGGACCACTGGTTATGAAATACCGGGCTAGGAAGGGGAGGAAGAGAAGATGAAAGACCTGATAGGAGGCATGGGAATTTTGCCCGAATCACCTTTTCCCCCTGAGAAAGCGCTAAAGCTGCCTTGTGTCCTTCCATAGATCCTGCTGACCTGGGGTCTTATCTCCAGGGGCGAGGGAGAAGCAGAGAGTGCAACAATTCCCTCATGGCCAAGAGGAAAGTTTGGCCGCAAGGCTGCTGTGCTGCTCCTTTAAGATTTGTCACTCTCCTGCCTGCCTCTCCCCTCTGATAGCTGAGGAGTCCTTCCATAACGGGGAGTCCGAAGGAAATAGAAGTGTGGCTGTGCCCTGAGCCTGGCTGCTCCCAGCATTTGGGTAAAGAGGACATTGTCTGGAGGGGCCCTATTTCCTGCCTCCATAGCAACCCCCTAGAACAGTCAAGGTGTGAAGTGGCTTTAATGAAGCTGCCTCGGCACACCAGCACACGCGGCCTACTTCTAGCTGGGGTCCTCTGTGGAGTGCCTGGTTTCTGAAGGTGAGGTCTATTGTTTAGGTCACTGAGCAGACAGATGCTGTGATCCTCGCATGGCTTCAGAACTAAGTATGCGCCCAGTTAGGACCTCCTGACCCAATGAGGATTTCGCTATGTGCTCTTCATGCCTTCACAGCCGTGCAGCTCGAGTGATGAAGACGCCACATCTGTACATAGTTCAGGGTCAAAAACACTCATGCGTCACCGGCAAGTGCCTGGCACTGTGCTGGGTGTTGGCAACACAAAGATGAAGGAAACTTTCTTGCCAGTTCACTTGACTTTACCCCTTGAGACGATCAGTGACATTGCCCAGAGGAGAAAGGGTAAGTCCAGAAAGGTTGCCTGGGACTCAGCTGGTCTCCCAGCATCATGCAGTCACCCGGCAGAGAACAGGGCACTCGAGGCTAGGTGGGTTCAGGGTTGGGGGATGGGTTCAGGGTTGGTGTTGCAGGGTGGATGTGACAGAGGGAAGAGAGTGACAGGGCTTAGGCCTGTGGTCCCCAAACTGGGGTGTGCAACCCTCCAGGGTGCCTGCAAGATGATCCCCTGGGGGTGTGCAGAGCATACTGAAGCTCTTACTATATTGGCCTTTTTAAATCTTGTCATATATGCCTTTCTATTTTTGTGGTATATATTTTTTTTTAAAGATTTTTTTATTGGGGAAATGGGGGGATGGGAACAGTGCTGGGGAATTGCGGGAAGGGGAACAGACAAGTTGCTGTTGTTTTGTTTTTCAGTCTAGTTGTGGAGGACGTTGCTTTACTGGCCCAAGTTGGCACCATCATTGTGCTCTTCCTGGGCGAAGCACATCAGTCGCCGGCTTCTGGATGGCCGCTCACCGCGGCTGCTGGCCGCTCACGCTGGCTGCTGGCTACACACGGTAGCCCATGGCAACCCACTGCCACAGGGGCTGCAGCCTACGCCGTCGCCAGTGACTCATGGCAGCCCAGCTCCAGGTTGAGCTGTTGTTCAGCATCTTAGCTGTGGAGGGCAGTGTCACTGGCCCTCATATGTGGGATCCGAACCGGGGCCCTCTGGCATCCCAAGCGAGTTCTTAACCATCGCGCCACTCGGCCGGCCCCATGTTTTAAATGAAGAAATTTATCAGTCCAGTAGTAAAATTTATGCAATTTATCAATGAATGAATAGATAAACAAATAAATAAATGTCAGAGATATGTGCTCAATTCTTCTTCGCTGTTGGATGTGCATTATGAAATTATGACCATTGGTTTAGAGCATTGTTAAAAGAGTGGTTGATGTTCTGGGCCCTAAAGTCTAGATTAGAAGAGGATGGAAACAAAAACTCGAGAGAGCTGAGAGAATGGAGGGCGGAAAGGCTCAAGGCAATTGAAAGTCAGGTTTAGTGGATTTAAGGGAACAAGGTCTCAGGAGAGGAGGCTGTGACCAGAGAGCAGGATGAAGATTGAGAATGCCTCAATGCTAGTTGATTCAAAATCAGACTGTGACCAGGGGAGGGAGGGAATGATGGGGAGTGGGGACCAGTCGTCGTTGTCCACACAAATATTAAAGTGCCTGAGTTGATGGCAAACCCTAGGACAGAAAAGAAAATGGTAAGCTAGCAAGATGCCAGTGGGAGGTCCGCAGGTGGCGGTGGGTACCCAGGGGGCATAGGAAGAGAAGGAGGAATTTACATGAAGGTAGAAGAGTAACAGTGTCTTTGAAGGGTAAGGAGGATGCAGATTCTCCCTCTCCAGGCTCTGTGAGTCTGAGAGGAGTGGAGTGGGAGGGGAGGATGGTGTCCACAGGAAGCAGAAAGAGAAGGGAAGGCTCCCTGCGCACAGGCTACAGTTGAAGGGGGATTGCTCACCATGGAAGGGAGGCTCCAAAGGGCACTGAAAAGGCTGTGGAATGAGGGATGCAGTGGGAGTAGGTGTCAGAGGAGGAGATGAGAGCAGGCTGGAGGTGAGTCTGTGGGAGAAGGAGCACTGCCTGTGCTCAAGACTCTCCCTTCCCAAAGGGGGGGTGCTGTTTTTAACGCTGCTTGGTGGGTTGTGGAAAGCCTTTGTAAGCATAGCTGGCATTTTGTTTTAAAGGAATGTCTTTTTATTCAAAAACACAAAATATTTTATCTGTGGGCATGCACAGTGACAGCGATAAACCATCATGTGTTTTGTCAAACTGAAACCCATAACCTTTTCTTTAGTCTTTTTTTCCCCAAGTGATTTCTGTGAGGTTATTGGTGAGAAACACAGCTTTGAGCTTCCTGTAACAGTTCATTAATAGTGGTAATGCACTATTTTAGGAATTAGAACATGCGACTTCTGCCCACTCTGCCCATGCCAGGGGCCCTCCCCATCTTTAGGATTTTTGCGATAACTTCTGCTCTGTTTCCCCCAGCAGAGCAGCAGCAGCAGCAGCAGCAGCAATAAAGAAGCCCCTTACTACCTTAGCAGTGCCAATGATGCCTTTTTCCACCCTAGCCACAAAATCTCCACGTGTAGCATCATAAGCAACTGCTGAATGGCTTTGCCTGATGTCCTCAGCTGTCAAGGATCCTTCTAACTGTCCTTCTTGGCAAGGTTATTGCAGGCAGTTTGAATATTTTCAAAAATAATTTCTATGTCAGTTTTTTTAATCTTTATTAGTTGGATTTGGTGGGTCCAAAGCTGGGATACACTGAAACCCATCCCAACCACCTCCTAGAACAGTGGTTCTCAACCTTCCTAATGCCGCAACCCCTTAATACAGTTCCTCATGTCGTGGTGACCCCCAACCATAAAATTATTTTCGTTGCTACTCTGTAACTGTAATTTTGCTTCTGTTATGAATTATAATGTAAATATATTTTTGTTTTCCGATGGTCTTAGGCGACCCCTGTGAAAGGGTCATTTGACCCCCTAAAGGGTCGCGACCCACAGGTTGAGAACTGCTGTAGAAGGATGCCTTCTCCAAATTGGAGCACCATTAAATGCATCTGGAATTCCTTTTCATTCTCTCTATCTCACTTGTTCCACCAGCCTTCAGCATGGCTATTGCATCTGAACATTATACCGTATATTCATTCAATTCTTCCTCTTCATCCTCACTAGTAGCAGCCTTTCAAAAATATGGTTTTTTTTTCAATTTGTGACTGTCATGCTCCCAGCAGATGAATGCAGGATTTGGTGAGGCCAAAAAGGAACAACAACAAAAGAAGCCACAGATAGGGGATTCATACCATTATATTATATTCTCCATGATGGCTGGTAGAGACACGAGAAGCAAACATCTGTCAATAACCCAACAAGGGGGTCTTCCTGCACCACAGTCTTGGGGGCGGCTGGGCGAGACACAGGAAATAGAATCTACAAGATCCATCCATGACACCCGCACTTGCTAACACAGTTATATACAAAACAGTAGTGGCTAATGGCCAACTGGTTACAGCTGAGGGCCAATTAGTCACATGAGTGCTTGCATATGCGGGTTACATAACGGAGCCAGCACCTTTCCAGGTGAGGCCGAGAGCCTGAAAACTGCTCTCCTGGGCCTTTCCCTACAGTGACGCATCACCTTTCCCTTTCAACAGCATGGAATTATCTTTGGTCTCAATGACTTCTACTTTTCTGAGGCTGAACATCTTCAAGATTTAGGGTTAACCCCTCCTCTCCAAACACTGTCAAAAGCATTTAAAAATGAGACAGTTCCAGGGTTTAGCTTTGCTTTATTGTATCAAATTTATTCATAATACATTATGCAGGTGTTTTGATGAGAATCCAGAAACATCTTGAGACACCATATTTCTCTGAAATGTGAGAATTTAAGACCGTTGCCATTCCAGGACATGTCTTGTGTATAGAGCTTTCTATTGTATTCATTTGCATTATTTCCTTCACTTCTCAGAACTGTCAATTAGCAACAGTTTGATCTTGCAGATGAGATGACAGAACCCAGAGAAAACGCACCTAAAGTCACACACTTGGAAGACTAGACCCACCGTTCTGTGTACTAGATCATTCTCGTTTCAGAATTAAGGACAGATCAGACAATACGCTCATCCTGATTGGGTGCATGACAGGTTAGAGCTGGAAGGGACCTTCTCTGTATCTAATTCAACTCCCATTTTCCTAGACATTCAGCCAATGTATCTAAGTAGAAAAAATGCAAATTATTTTACTGTATACCTATAAATATTATCCCTGGAAAGAAAAGGAACATTTGGTAAATGCACAAAAAATATGGAAAAAATTTGCATGTTATCCTTGTGTGGGGGCCATGTTAATCTTCTCTGTATTGTTCCAATTTTAGTATACATGCTGGCAAGCAATCTCCAGAATATTTTAAAATGAATATACTGCAGTAGAAAATACCAAAGTGTATCACATATAATAAAGTTAAGCATTGTTTTGTGAGACTTTTGTGTTAGTTGCATATATATGTGTAGGCATTGTGGGTCCTGGTATAAAATTTATTTCTTTCATGCTGTGGATTGTGCTAATGAATGCTGAAAAGCCACTGGTATAGTGGAGAGCATTGCAAAGTGGGTTCAATTACTTGATTCCAGTCATTGCTCTGCCAACAATCGCCTGGTGAGCTTGGCCAAGGAACTCAACCCCTCAGGGCTTTCATTTCCTTATCTTTAAAATGAGCAGGTCAAATTCGGTGTTTTGAGATCGCTTCCTCTAAGATTGTATCAATCTGGCAATTCTTTCACAGCATGGATGAAACACAAAAGCCTTCCAAAGGAGGAAGATGGGTGGAGAGAGGTGGCAGGAGCAGAAAAGCAAACAGGAGCCAGGTGCAATCACATGACTTTACCCCATAGCAGAGGTGAGGGCTGCCAAACACACACACCTGGTGCTAATTCTTACTGCTCATCATCATACTGATAGCACCCCAAGATGCTGCTGCCACGCGGGTGTGAATGATGACCATAGTTAAGTCCAAGTTGGAGCTTGTGGACGTCAGTGGAGGTGAGCACTGCCAAACATACACACCTGGCACCGCACTTGGCATTGCTAGGTGCTCAGAAACAGTTCTTGAAGACAAGCATGATAAATACTCTAAGGGGGAAGCAAAGGAAAGACAACTTAAACAGAACAGGCTGAAACTTAGGAACCATATTCCCTCTACAGTATATGTGGCCCTGAAGTAATAAAGACCTTCCTTAGATAAAAAAAGGAAGGAGAGCAATTTCAGGATATATGCAGCATGAAATAATATAACTCCTTTTCTGGTATAGACTAGCACTTAGTTTTCAGTAAAGAATAGGTACCTGTTATCACTTTCCACTCATTTGATGGATAAGATACAAAGTTAATTTCATGGTGGAGGAACACCCAAGAGGTTGCTTGCTTTCTGTTAATATAGAAGACATCTTTGACACTAGCGCATAGGATGTGTATACACACACACACACACACACACACACACACACACGAGTTGATAAATGCATTAAATGCATAAATTATTTATTGGTCCTGGGGCAGCATACAATATGACAAGAAATGAGATGTATATGTGATATGATGCATGTGTAGAAATTGAGGGAGTTTTTTTCCCTCCCCCAGGTAGAAACATAATGCCAGAAAACATTCTGCCTTGGAAGAACAGAAGTACAAAGGTGTTCCAACAATCGAAGGTTGTAGTTTTGCACAATTGCTTATTATTTGTTGCATTTGGAAATAGGGCATGGAGAAGACAATTGCCTCTCCCAGCCTGGATCTCTTTAGCATGCTTCAATTCAGCGTCACCTGCTAGGTAAGATTTAACAAAATGTGTCTGTTGGCCTGCAAAAAACCTGGTGACAAGAGCTCAGTGCGCCAGGAAGCAGAT